GACAACATCTCAATGGTGGGCTTCATATGGTGGGAACCACAAGGATCTGCAGAAGATTGCTACTCGTCTCACTGCGATGTGGAGCACGACAACACCATCCGAGCGAAATTGGTCCTCCCTCGACCTCATCCATACGAAAGGGAGGAACAATCTCTCATCTGAGAGCCTCGCAAAGCTTGTATACCTACACTGGAACATGCAGCTCCAGTCTATCCCGAAGAGCATGAAGGAATGCTTCGTTGATGTCAAGGCATGTTTCTTTGATGACCCGGAGGCTCTGCCCGCCAACGATCCTGCTGTTCTTCCATGACCCTTGGAGCTGGATGAGGAGGAGGTGTTGCGACAGGCAAGATTGAGGAAGACCCCCAAGGGAAGGGTTCCCATCGGTATGTCTTCGGACAAATCGGACTACTCATCGAGCGAAGAGGAGATCATTTGGGGTGGGAAGAGGAAGGAATAGCCGCCACGAAGTGTGAAGGGCAAGGAGAAGATGACAATGGAGGGAGAAGACGATGAGGTGGATGAGGTGGACAAGGAGGCGTATGGGGATGTTGATGATGATGATGATGACCCAGACTATGCGTTCTACAACCGCGGGCTCGATGAGGAGGACGAGCAAGACAGGGTACGCGGTGTTCATAACTGTCCTCCCCCTCCTCCAACCACTGGCATCATGGACTTGGAGGCCGAGGGAGCCTCACATGATGACCGGGAAAGGGCTGCGGCAAAGGCCCTTGCGCAAAGAGACTGGGCAGAAGTGCAGAAACGCATCGAGGAGGATAATGCAAAGCGCTTGGCAGTGCCACGTCCGGGGTAGCTTTCGGGGCTTAGCATGCCTCCACCAGCAGATCGGGTCGTGGGCCCAAAGGACAAGCGGCAGCAAAAGGAGCAGTCACAACAAGGGCGGCAGGAGCAAGAGGAACACGAAGACCAGCAACGACACAAGGAGCAGCAGGAAGAGAGCCAGCAACAGGAGCAAAAACAACAAGAGGAGGAGCAACACCAGCAGGAGAAGCAGCAACAGTAGGAAAAGCAGCAGCCGCACGAGAAGCAGCAACTTGAAGAGCAGCAGCGGCAACAGCACCAAGAGGATAATCAGTACAAAGCGGAGCAGCATCGCTTGGAACCACAACAGGAGGACGACGGGGAGCAGCAGCAGCAGGGGGAAGGCGTACGGGAGCAGCAGCAGCAGGAAGACGGTCGGGGCCAGCAGCAACATGTCATGCAGCAGCAGGAGCACAACGAAGAGGATCAGCAGAAGCAGCAACTAGAAGACAAGGGGCACCAGAAGCAGCAGAACCAGCAACAACAGCCCCCACAACAGGAGCCGGAAGACATCCTGCAACAACCGCTCATCCTCCACGCCGCGAGTTGTCCCCCTCCGTTGACCCACTTGGATGAAAGTCTCGTCCATGACAACCTGGAGATCAGAAGGGTCGGGAGGAAGTGGAAGAATGACATTGAACCTGCTGTTGATCCAACAGTGAAGCGTGGGAGGGGACGACCAAGGAAAACTGCCGTGAACGCTGCAACATCTGTCCTCGCCGCACCACCTCCACCATCAACACGTCCAAGGCGCACTGCCCGAGCGACAAAGAAGCGGCACAGTCGGGTCCTCGAGGACGATCCGACTGCGGCAGAGGACAACAGCGACAGGGAGGGGGACGACGAGTCGGACCCGGAATGGAGCTAGACGGAAGTCTAGACGACCAACGCCTCTAGCTGTTTTGTTTCGTCCTGTCCGTCTTTCCTCTCCTTCTTTTTTCTTGTTCTTCATTGTCTACTTGTTCTCCTCCCCCTTCATTTTGTTGTATGATCTTAGTCTTCTTCCATTCCTTGAGAACTTATACAAATGACTCGCACACTCGTGGATGCCAAGCTCTCGTACCTTGATTTCTGCCCCTTTGTGTCGCTCAATTTCAGCAGTTAAAGTACTGTACTTGACATTGTCAGATCTATGTCATGGAAGTCAGGACCGAGGCCTGATTAACATTTGAGTTAGCTTTTGTTCTCCCTGAATCTTCGTTACGATTGATTGTAGTGACAACTTGGCGCACAAATCAAAGGTTTTGGTTTCGGAAACTGGATGTCCAAACTTGGTGGTTGCGTGCAGGTGGTTGTGTGCTGGTTTTGGTATCAGAAACAGAATGTTCAAACTTGACTCATAAGTATCAGTTTTCCAAGTGTGTGTAAACAGTGGTGGTTGCATGCAGAGTGACGGTTTTCAGGCACCACTTGCTGAAAGCCTCAAACCGTATCGGGAAGTGGTTCGCAATCATTGTTGGCATTTTCTAGCTCATAATGGTGTCTAATGTCCATGCAGGCTGACACCACAACCGTGAACTGGTCTCATCGACTGCGGCCACGAACAAAGAAAAAAAAAAAGCAATTATCCACAAAAGACACCGAGGTTATCCCATCAACGCACTTCTTTGTGGGCCGCCCCTCACAACCCAGCAAGCACTTCTTTGTGGGCCGCCCCACTTATACACAAACCCTTCTTTATGGTTGGCCAGACTGATGGTAGGAAAAAAAAAAAAGGGAAAAGAGAGGAGTCATGGGGCTGCACCAAAATATGCCAACTAGTGGCAACCACCCTCATCCTCAACCCCTTCTCG